TAGGCTAGAGTATTTAGGTGAGGCTAGAGATGATCTTATATGTGTAGTGAACTTGTTTGGATTTTTGATTCTCCAATGGTTTGTAAGTTTTATACATTTGAGTAAATAATTTTCTTTTATCATATTTCTTCTTCTTATCAATATATTTTATTGTCAACTCTCATATAAATCTTGTCAAGCTCTTTTTATGTGATTGTTGCATTATATGATATATTGATCGGTATTATTTTATGAGTAGTCTTTTACTGTATTATTGCCAACGGTATATTGTCGCTCTTGGATTTCTCATAAGATAATTTTTCCTAATTCTAAACGTTAGAATTTTATTTACTCGAATACATTTTTAATTCATATGTTCTTCAAATATTTATTTTCCGATTGATTGTTTGGAATGTGAAACTTTCAATTGAGTCAATTTATGAATCAAAATCCAAATAGGTGAACAAAGCATATGGAGGATTCTCAAAGCCTTACCACTTTTATTTATAGAATTTTCTCCATTTTAAATTGTTCATAAAATCATCAAAAACACTCATTCTTTTTCTTTGTTTGATTGCTTACTTTCCTAACGCTTTTTATTTGCTAATCATTTCTTGTTCAATTTAACACTTTCTTGTGGGATCGACCGTTCAAATTGTACTACAATTGACCGCTTGTTTTTGTACACGTTTGGGCGTAATCAAGACTAAAATCTGAGTTTAAGGTCTCGTTCATTTTACCGATTTGAGTTTAGAATTCGAGTTTTGCTACAGTAAAAAGCTCTCAGAAACAGTCACATCTATTTTTTTTACTACTAAAAAAACTCTTACATAAAGTCACATCTTAACTCAAATTAAAAATTCGAATCAGCGAACTAAACGGGCCCTTCCCTTCAACTCAAGCTCTTAAACTCAAACTCAAGTTAATGAACAATATTTTTTATATTCTTAAAAACACTATAACTTTTTCTTTTTAATTCTGATTGAGATTATTTTCTTTTCTATGCGTTCACAACGAACAGACGAATAAAACCATATCCATATACTCTATTAAAATTTTCCATCACTATTGAGTTTTTATTAAAATATTATATAAATACAAATTCAAGTTTTGACTCACCCAAACACAAAATCAAATAGATTCTCAATTCAAACCATAACTTAAATGTGTACATCCAAACACAAACTCAAGTTAGAACTTCAACTCAAGTTATAACTCAAATTCAACTCAAGATCTACAATCAAGTCACTATAACTAAAAAATGTAACCGAACAAGCCCTAATTTGGCACATAAATTTCATTATAATTGTCTTAAGAACAAAGGAAGAAAAAAACACTCCGAACGAAATGGTTGCCGACATGGCGTAAGGAGTGCTCTTTGCAAACTCAAAAAATAAGAAAATAACTGAAGCAGCAAAAAAAAAAGCGCAACGAAGGATGTTGAAACTTGGCCACATGTCAGCTGCGTAAGAGTTAGCGCATTGAGGCTTTTAGTATAGTTAGAGTAACTCCAATTATATTAGTCATTTCATATTTTTAATTAAAATAATTAATAATTTAATTTTTCTTTACTCCAATCATTAACTAAATAGTTAACTACGTTAGTTAAAGTATTTTTCATTAAATAAATATAACTAGCAAGAAGTAACTACTTATTTATTATTTTTATTATTTTGTTTTGGACATAAAGTAAAAGTTAAAAAGTTTTTTATATTTTAAACTCAAAAAAGATTAAAATAATTTATATTTAGCTAAAATAGAGAGTATGGTTGGAGTGACTCACTAAAAAGTTACTCGTTAAAATAGCTTTTTAAACATTTTAACTATAATTTAGCTAAAATTTAGAGAGCTCATTTAGAGATGCTTTTAGATTAGATTAGATGGGATGTTGATTTTAAGGTTATTGTCGTATTCGTTTTCATATTACACAACACGATATAGGATTATAGTGCAAATGAATCTCACTTCCCTCCTTGAGATACTCCTCACTTATCTCCTTGAGGACTTACTTGAGGTACCAAGCTCAAGTTACCGAACTCACTAACCTCCTTGAGGTACTCCTCACTTACCTCCTTGAGGTAATTCTCACTTACCTCATTGAGAACTTACTTGAGGTATCAAGCTCAGGTTACCGAACTCAAAGTATTGAGCTCAACTTACCTAGCATAATTTAAACTTAGAAATTTAAAGAAGCCTACATGTATAAAATTTCATGTTGTTTTAAGCGTTTTTTAGTATAACTTTTATCCGACCTAAGAAATTAGCTTACCAAGAAAAAAAATCCACACAATCATAGCCGTCTATTGCAAATCCTACGACCATCTTTAGAGATGCTAACTGGTTAGGCTCAATTCTATGTGCATGATCAGAGACTATTTATATATATATATATATATATATATATATATATATATATTCACGTGTTTTTTTACATCCTTCGATGGAACGTCCCATGATATGTAGATATAATATAAAACAGTGACGGAAGGAGTTGTGAACGTTAAGCAAGAATAATCCGGAGTGTTTCAAAGCATGACTATTGGCAAAAGTTATAGGATTAATTTTACAAATGGTCCATGAGATTTAACTTGTAGTCCATCTTGGTCTTTAATTTTTTAAACGTCACACAGTTGATATATGAGATTTTATTTTGTTTCAGTTTCAGTCATTTTGTGTATTAAGTATTAAAATTTAATGAAATATGTGTAAATTATGGACTAAAATTAAAAATAACTAAAATATTAAGACTAGGTGTGAAAATTAACTTTTGATTTTTTAGATTATTTTAGCCTTTAAACTTTATACATTTTCAACTTTGATCCTTAATTTTTACATATTTTTATCAAATATTTAACATCAAATTAACAAAAAGACCAAAATTAAAATAAAGTAAAATTTTAAAGACCATCTGAGACACATTTTAAAAGTTAAAAAGTAAAAAGTAAAGTAAAATTGAGGATAAACATCTGAGACCATCTTTGAGATTAACCTATTTTTTTACAACGAAACGTTTCTTTATCAGCATAAAAAAAACCCCAGAATTTAACAGCATAAAGTGCGAAACGACGTCGTCCGTCACTTCCCCTGGCCCTAATTGCCTCCCAAAGTCTTTCCCTTTCCTTACGAAGCTACTCCATTTCCGGTGAGAGCTCCGACAGTCGATAGAGAGAGAAAAAAATGGGGACTTCGGTGCAGGTGACGCCGCTTTGCGGCGTCTACAACGAGAATCCATTGTCGTACTTGGTCTCCATCGACGGCTTCAACTTCCTCATCGACTGTGGCTGGAACGACCACTTGGACCCTTCCATTCTTCAACCTCTCACCAAGTCTGTTTCTCCCTCTAACCTCCCCTTTTTCTCTCTCTAGAAACTTCACAAAAACCGTGCTGATTTCACCTCCATTTCTCGTCGCAGGGTCGCTTCGACGGTCGACGCAGTTTTGCTGTCCCACGCCGATACGCTTCACCTCGGCGCTCTCCCCTACGCAATGAAGCAATTCGGCCTCTCCGCTCCGGTTTACTCCACCGAACCAGTTTACAGACTCGGTCTCCTCACAATGTACGATCAATTTCTTTGGCGCAAGGTGAAATGAAGATTTTTCGTCTTTCTTTTTGCTTACCGATTTGTTTTTGCAATTCCTTTACCACAATTCATGCTCTGATGCAATGTTTATCTTTGATTTCGCAGCAAGTTTCGGAGTTCGATCTGTTTACTTTGGATGATATTGACTCTGCTTTCCAGAACGTCACCAGACTTACGTATGCTCAGAATCATCACCTTTCTGGTACTCTTTTTTTTTTTTTCCCCCTTCTCTAAACATGTAAAAGAAGATGAAGAAATTATTAAACCAACATATATGTGTGTGTGTGTGTGTGTGTGGGTTATATTGCTGGAATTAGGTAAAGGAGAAGGAATTGTGATATCACCGCATGTGGCCGGGCATTTGTTGGGGGGGACTGTGTGGAAGATAACAAAGGATGGGGAGGATGTTATATATGCTGTTGACTTTAACCACCGCAAAGAAAAGTGAGCATTCTTTTATGTACATGATGTACTTTAATGAATTGATTTTTGTTGTGTAAGTATGATTGTTAGTGTTGAGAAAGGAAAAAAAAAGTGCTTATTAGGTGTGGTTTTTATCAGGCATTTGAATGGGATTAATCCAGCGTCTTTTGTTCGGCCTGCTGTTCTTATAACGGATGCCTATAATGCTTTGAATAACCAGCCTTATAGACGCCAAATGGACAAAGAATTTACAGGTAGTTACTTTAGAGTTTGGAATTGTTTGTTTGTTTTTAATATAATATGCGGAAAACATGAATAAGTAAATGATGATTGTGTATTGTTACACAAAAACATAGTAAGGTTCTACTTATTGATTGCGTAGTTTTGTCTTTCTTGTACTAGATACAATAAAGAAGACTTTACGAATAGATGGAAAAGTGTTACTACCTGTTGATACTGCTGGACGAGTTTTGGAACTTCTTCAAATTTTGGAATCGGTGAGTTGGGGAAATGTTGCTAGAGTGTGTGTTTTGTTACTTTTCTTGATCAATGGGATAAACTGTTCTTTTGTGATTACATCCCAATGGTGATTTATGATCGACCTAATGATTTGCAGTGTTGGGCAGAGGAAAGTTTGAGTTATCCAATCTACTTTCTAACATATGTTGCATCTAGCACCATTGATTATGTCAAGAGTTTCCTTGAGTGGATGAGTGATTCTATAGCAAAGTCTTTTGAAAAGACACGTGATAATGCTTTTCTTCTGAAGTAAGTGGTATTCTTTTGTATTTTCTTTGAGAATGTTTCTATCTTTAAGTATTTAACATCTGCCCCTTCAATCCTTTAGTTGATACACCTGTATACAGAGAAAGATCTGATATAGTTGAATCTTTGCATATATATTTTGTGATTCCTGTTCTTTGGTAATACTTACTGATTAGGAACTAATTTCAAACTTCCAGGCATGTCACACTTTTAGTCAACAAGACTGATCTCAATAATGCTCCAGATGGTCCAAAGGTTAGACTCCATGAATACTCTGTGGTACATATTATCTTTTTATTTTTCGTTGACTGACTAATTTCAAATAGGTTGTTCTAGCATCGATGGCTAGTTTGGAAGCCGGTTTTTCCCATGATATATTTGTTGAATGGGCGACTGATGCCAGGAATCTTGTGCTTTTTACAGAACGAGGCCAGGTACTTTCTATACGAGGACAATTATGTCAAGCACACTTTATCTTTTAGTTAGTGCTATTATAATCCTTCTCACTTTGAGCTCCCGGGGGACGACAATAAGAATATTTCGTCCTTAAAACTAGAAAATTGCTAATGCAACCCTAGTTGAGAATATTCAAGTTTTCATTTGCACAGAAACTTGGAATTCTGTTTTGAGTCACTTTCATTTTTATTTTTGTGACTCCTTTTTAGGAAGAAATTAATGGCTTCATCATAGTTACTATCTTTTGATAACGCCAATAGTGGTTTCTTTCCTTTTTTTTTTTTGGGTTTTTGGGAAATTATACTAGTCTTACATTAATGCATATTTTTTTCTTTTATTTTTTATTGGAAGTTATTTAATTATGCATCCCATCAAAGTATAAGACAGAAATTTGTTGGGTTATCTTTCTTTAAGTGCTTACATTTATCCCTGCACTGTTTTTGTAGTTTGGCACATTGGCCCGTATGCTTCAAGCAGATCCACCTCCAAAAGCTGTAAAGGTCACGATGTCCAAGAGGGTCCCTTTAGTTGGGGAGGAGCTAATTGCCTATGAAGAAGAGCAAAACCGAATAAAAAGGGAAGAGGCTTTAAAGGCTAGTCTTATTAAAGAGGAGGAATCAAAAGCATCTCATGGGACTGATATTAACATAAGTGATCCAATGGTCATTGACGCGAGCATTACTAATCCTTTGCCAGATGGTATGTAAACAATAGGCTCTAGTATTCGTAGCTAATCTTGCTTATAATTCTGTCAATTTTCCTTCCATGCCTTAAATGTATGTTCCAGTTCTTTTTATGCATTGAAGCCTGTTTGTTTGGTTTTTGTTTTTCTCATTTAAATCTCATTATATGCTAACTTTTTCAGTATTTGTGCGTACTCAATTTTCTGATTGTACATTAAATCACAGTGGCAGGTCCACATAGTGGTGGATACCGTGATGTATTCATTGATGGATTTGTTCCTTCATCCACCAGCGTTGCCCCAATGTTTCCATTTTTTGAGACTACTTCTGAGTGGGATGATTTTGGTGAAGTCATAAATCCTGATAATTACATAATCAAGGACGAAGACATGGACCAAGGAGCAATGCATGTGAGTCCATTATGGAATATCTGCCTGCAGCTTTGACCTTTATGCTTAGCCTTGGCATTTCTTACTGCAGGTGAGTGGTGATATGGATGGAAAGCTTGATGAAGCGTCTGCTAGTTTGATACTTGACACAAAGCCGTCAAAAGTCATATCTAATGAATTGACTGTAAGTAAAATTTTTGCTTCATTGCATATGGAGTTATCTGACTCTTGTTGTCTCAGTAAATATAGTGGAGTTATGTTCTAATTCAGGTGCCAGTCAAATGCTCATTGCTTTATATGGATTTTGAAGGCCGTTCTGATGCACGATCCATAAAATCAATTCTCTCCCACATGGCTCCTCTAAAGCTTGTATGAATCTTTTTTTTTTCTTTTTTTTTTTTGTGCATGTGTATATATTTGTTTGGTTTGGTGCAAAATCTAGATCTTCAATAGTTGTATGTGAAGATTTGATCTTGGGATGCTAACCTTATGTTGCTTTTTTCCTTGGAGGTTCTGGTTCATGGAACAGCGGAAGCCACGGAACATTTGAAGCAACATTGCATTAAACAAGTTTGTCCTCATGTTTATGCTCCCCAAATTGAAGAAACTATTGATATCACCTCTGATTTGTGTGCTTATAAGGTATAATTTAAGAGCAATTGATTTCTTTCTTGATCTGCGACATGGAAATCACAAGCCACTGGGTATCCATTTTGTGGAATACAGGTACAACTGTCTGAGAAGCTGATGAGTAATGTGCTCTTTAAGAAGGTAACACTATTGTCTCAAAATTTTGGTTTATCTAGTATTATCATCCATTGTGATTATCATCAACAATGTGACGAAACTGCAAACGCAGCTTGGAGATCATGAAACTGCTTGGGTTGATTCTGAAGTTGGTAAGACAGAAAATGGCACTCTGTCTTTACTACCCCTTTCAAGTGCAGCTCCACCACACAAATCTGTCCTTGTAGGTGATTTGAAAATGGCAAATTTCAAGCAGTTTCTGGCTGATAATGGTGTCCAGGTACCAATTTCTACTCCTTGCTTAAATAAATGGTCTTTCACACTACCCTGTCTACCACATATGCACACAATAATGGATGAAATAAGATGCGGAATCTTAACCGTTTGATCATGAACAAAAGAAAATTTTCTTGGAAAATAGCTTATCTGCCTGAAAACAAAATGCATCACAAATTTCATACTTTGCAGGTCGAATTCGCTGGTGGGGGTGCTCTGCGATGTGGTGAATATGTGACACTGCGCAAGGTTGGGGATGCTAGCCACAAAGTGAGTCATAGAGTGTTTCATCTTCGATTTTGCTAGTTATACACCCTTCTTCATTTGGTAGTAGCAGTGTATTATGGTGATTTGATGGCTTTCCTTTTGGTTATTTCATTTTCCGGCATGTGGACGAGAGGCTTGACTTGCTTATCATATTTGACATGTAGGGTGGTGGTCCTGGGACGCAGCAAATTGTCATCGAAGGCCCCTTATGCGAGGAGTATTATAAGATTCGAGAATATTTGTATTCACAGTTTTTCTTGCTTTAAATCAAGAGATTTTGACCCTTAATAACCGATGGAACTGTAAATGTGCCTTTTGCAAGTCGGTGTGAGGCTATGAGCGGAATCAAAATAGGTTGTGAGCTGCTGGGGGTCTTTTGAAATCTACACCTCTTGTCCTTTCAAAACGTTGGGCAGAACTTTTTGGCCACAATGGATGTATTCACTTTGTCTTTTAGGTTATAGGAGAAAATAACGCAAATTATATTTGCTCTTGTTAATGTCGGAAAGAAGAAGGATTTAAAGGAATGATTATAATTTACTTTGGTTGGAACCTTGTTAACTCTGACACGCTAACAACTGATTTTCAAATTTTAACGGTTTGCGTCGAACATGATTAAAGATGTCTTTTATTTTGAATACGTTTTTCGTGACAGGGTGATCCCTTAGTATCATGTACGGATACGATTATATTATGAAAAATAAACGAACTAAAAAGAATAAATTTGCTGACGATGACATTTACTATGCTATATAATTAATTCATAATCAAATGTTTATAGATCTTCGATCGAGTGAATACTTACTAGATATTTTGCAATGAATATAATAATTCATATATTCTCTTCTACTTTTGATCTACTATTTTAGCAAGGACCGTCTTGTTAGACAATACCTTGTTGCAAATTCTTTAGCTTTTTAATAAAATTGGTTATTGTTTTTATTTATTTTTTGCATGCCTAATCATATTGTATAATAACTCAATTTGAACCATGAACGACACATTAATTGCATGTCGCCTCAAGGCTGACTGTTAAAGGCGAGATGTCCTTTGAGAGATGACTTTTGAGCGACATACTGCAACCGCCATAAACGACCATCGCTCAGAAAATACTTAAAACAACGCATAAGCGACAATGAATTATTGGGGAGAAAAAAATTACGATAGCACCAAACGACAGCAGATAAACAACAAAGTGAACAAAAAAAATATCGAATATTTGACAATGCTTCTGACTAAAAAAAAAAAAAACCCCACAAAAAAACAGCCATGGCCGAAAGCGATCAATTAGATTAAGGTTTTTAGCACAATTGCCCCTCAAGTTTATTGTAGTTTAGCAAATTGTCTTTTAACTTTTTACTTTTAACAAGTTGTCATCTCAACGTATAAAGTTGTTACAATGTGTCATATTTTATTAAATTTGCTCAAATTTTTTATTAGATTTAAAGGATTAAAAGTTAAGAAATTAAAAAATTTACATTACATTTAAATTGAAATATTAAAATTTTTCGGTGAATGTGCTTTTTATACTAATCTAACATAATCGTCACAATAAGACATATTACAACAACTTAATTATAAAACAACAACATATGGAAAAACGGCAGCATAGGAAAAGGACTGCAGCTAAAAACGACAAAACCTCTTGTTAACGATAAAGAATTCATAATACAACGACATACATAAGCGACAACAACTTCAAACTATTACTCTAAAACGACCACACCTCTTTATAAACGAGAATGAGTTCATAAGACGACGGGGCATGCAAAAACGACAATAACTAACGATACCTGAAAAACGACAATACCACTAGTAGACGACAATAATTTGATGACATTTAGAAACGAAACACTCCCTTATTTGAGTTTTTAATTTGAGTTGAGATGTGATTTTATGTAAAAAAAATTTACTGTAATAAAAAAAATTAATTGTATCTATTTTTGATAATTTTTTACTCCAATAAAACTCGAATCAATTGCTTACAAACTACTTATCTGAAAAAAAATGCAACAACAGCTTACGGACGAGCACAGCTTAAAAACGACAGCACCTTTTGTTAACGTCATTGACTCTATAAGACGGCGACATACAAAAAAGTCAAAAACTAACAACTCGTAAGTGGCTGGATATTCGCAAGCAATGATATTAATAATCCTTAAATCTTCTTTTAAAATTTCAAATCATATAAATTGGTAATTAATTAGTAGTTTACAGTAAGTTTTGTTATTTTTTTTTTTCTCAATCAACGATATTAAAAATCTTTAAATCATAAAAATTGCTTATTAATTATGATTTATATATTGTAATTGTTGGTATTTTTCATGTTTCAAAGAGGAAGAAATTTGGCTAAAAGAAGCTGTACTAGTTGGAATTGAAAATCAGGTGGTCCAAATACTTGCTTACAGTAACTTCCTCGTGTTTCTTTGTTCTCACTTCTCAGACAAAACCGAGATAACGAGTTTCCTCTCTCTCTCTCTCTCTCTCTCTCTCTCTCTACGAAACACGGTCTCAGTTGCCGGATAAGCAGATTCGCTGACCAAAAACCAGATAAAAACCCTAGAATTCCCCTTCAATCCTCGTGAAAGCTCTATTCTTTTCATGGCTTCCGCCACGGCAACGTGCTCTCCGAGCTCGCTCCAGCTCCGCTTCGCTCTCAACTCCGGGAATTGCCGAAAACCCCCTGTGCTTCTTGTTCGTGGACAATTATGGAAGCAGAATCGTTGCGCTCGCTCGCTTTTTCCCTCTCAAGGCGGAGCGACGAATGGGAGTGGACCTGAACGACGTCGTAACGGAGTTTCGTGGATCAGGTCTGATTCCGCCGCCGATGGATTCTCCGGATGGTCCAGTACGGACGGAGGAGAAGAGTCAGCGGACTCTGAAAGGAAGAAATGGCTTGGAGGTAATGTTGGTTTCGACTGAAAAAGTTTATTAATCTTTTCTTAGTTTGGTTGCTGTGAAAACTTTAGAATAAGTCTTCTTTTTTCTTTTTCTTTGTTTTTTTGTTTTTTGTTTTTTTTGGGTATAAGAGTGAATATTAATATTTGTAAAGTAGTTTGCTTTCAGGGGTTGTGGGAACAGGATTAGCGGGAATCCTTCTTGCTGCTGGGCTTACATTTGCGGCATTATCTTTGGGAAAACGAGGCAATTCTGGTAAGTGGGTGTTCTTAATTAAGATTAGTTTCTTTAGGACTAGATACAAACTGGTTGCAAAAGGAAGTACTTTTGTTGAATTTTCTCTCTTCCAATTGTTGATGGTTAATAATTCAAAAAAACAAAATATTGATGGTTAATATTATCAAGGAAACTCTAGAGGAATTGCCAGAGGGAGCTTAAAGATTTATGCACGTGCTAATATTCAGCCCTTACTTTCTCCCTTTATATACTAAGTAAAGAGTTGACTTCATGGGGGCTTATTCCCTGAATTTCTCAAACTCTCAATAAATTATGTGTTTATTGGAATAGACATAGTAGTATTCTTTTGAACTGTGTGAGTATATGAATTTCATAGGGGCAAAACATATGGAGCCCTTGACAACGCAGGAAGAAGAGTCATTGTTGGATAAAAGTGATAACGGTGGGGGAAATGAGAACGAAGGCCACAGTGTGAAACAAGAAGATGCTGGTGGTCCGGATGGCAGGACAGGTACTTATAAGGATTCTTCTTCATCTTCAGAATTTGTTGATATTCCCAGTGAAAATAGAGTTGGTAATGATTCTGTAGTTGGGGATGTTTCGGTAGATGATGTTAAATCCACATCCTATAATAATGATGCCACCAACAATGTTTCCATTCAAGAAGATTTGCAACATGAGTTGAGTTTTGATGATAAGTCAGTTGCAGCTGAAACAGCCCAAAATTCATATAATCCTTTTAAGTCAGAGAATGGCAATGATTCATCTGTTGCGTCTGATTTTAAAGATTTGGATGGAAACTCTGCTGTAGGTACATCAGAGTTAGTTACTGATCTCAAAGATAGCCCAGTCGATCTTGGATCAACCAACTTGTCTGTTTCTGATGCGATTCCATCTGATATTAGCCCTGAATTTCAGGATGTAAGTGCTGATTCAGGCAGAGATCAAACTTCTGATCATAGTTCCATTTCCCATGTACCAGATGAGCCTGTGGCTCCAAATGTGCCATCTAGTTCACAGTCCAATACGGTTTTAGAACCACAAATTGCTTCCAAATCCAGTATAGAGACTATACCCTCATCTCCAGCCAATGAAAATTTTGAGCCACAGGATATCTCACAGGTCGAAGTTGAGGAAAATAGTTTAACTGTGGAAACACATAGCTTAAGTGAAGGTGGGTCATCGGGAACATCTGTGTCTGCATCAGCATATTCATTACAAAATGAACAGTTTTCAAAAATTTACAATGAGATCAATAGAAGCACAACAGAATCACCAAAACCTGGGACCTCATTTTCTTCTGCTGGCATTCCTAAAAAAATTCCTGCTCCATCTGTGGTTTTCTCAGCTCTACAGGTGCTTCCTGGAAAAGTGTTAGTTCCTGCAGTTATTGATCAGGTTCAGGGGCAGGCTCTGGCAGCATTGCAAGTGCTAAAGGTGTTTCTATTCTCTAATGTTTGCACTTATTTCTGTTATTTCAATATTGCAAGGCTGTTTTTTGTGTAATAGAAGGTGAAACTTCGGCTTCAGTTTCTTGCTAAAGACTGTCCACCAGTCTTGACTTTGCTTATGTGGCAAAAAGATTTGATTTGGTTGTCCGCAATCAATCTATTACGTGGTCCTAGGGATTTACATGAGCTGTAGTAAGAACGCTTCAATTCTATGTTTACCTATTACCAACGTTTTTCAGGTCATTGAGTCTGATGTACAACCTAGTGATTTGTGTACACGTCGTGAATATGCTCGTTGGTTAGTGTCTGCAAGCAGTGCTCTTTCAAGGTAGGATTTGTCTTGGTTTTGTAATTAATAGGACGCAAATATTTCCTAATTTTAGAACTCACTATTAGACTTGGTGATATATGGTTTGCTACTATCTGTAGGAACACAATATCTAAAGTGTATCCGGCAATGTACATAGAGAATGTAACGGAGCTTGCATTTGACGATATTACTCCGGAAGACCCTGATTTTGCATCTATTCAAGGTCAGAACTGGATGTTAAACTTTTGGCTACCACATTGGAGAGGCTGTTGTATTGATGCGATATAAATTTTTTTCATTCATTAATCTTCAGACGCATTGTTTTGTTTCATTAGGTTTTCTGTGATTCATCTTTCAGGTTTGGCCGAAGCTGGACTTATCTCAAGCAAGCTTTCAAGAGGTGATATGCTTTCTTCTACAGATGAAGACCAGGGTCCATTGTTCTTCTCTCCTGAAAGGTGTTCATGAATTTTCTCTTGACATAGATGTGTTGGGAATTGGGACTAATTTCTCATTCTGAACGTATTCTTTGAAAAAATCTTCCTGCCACTACTATTTTTGCTTTTCATATAAGGCTTCAAGCCAATTATGATAGTTGGTATTCTAACTCTTTAACTTATTATGCTTAATAGTGTTTTCTTCCAGCGTTCTTTCGTGGTACATGTAATCTTTTTGTCATCACAATGGTGCAAGATAAAACTAATCGCTGCAGCTTCTTACTAGTAAGAATTCTGACTAAGTAATGATATTCTTCCTTTTGGTCATGTTATTCTACAGCCCTCTATCACGTCAGGATCTTGTAAGTTGGAAGATGGCCCTAGAGAAAAGACATCTCCCTGAAGCTGACAGAAAGGTTGACTAACTTGATGTCTGAGTTTATTTTCTATGAACTACTTTTTATTGATAATTTGAACTCTCGGATTTGTGAGTTAACAATTAGCGTGCTTGGACAGGCACTCTATGAACTTTCCGGCTTTATAGACACTGATAAAATACATCCAGATGCATGTCCTGCACTTGTTGCTGACCTGTCTGCTGGAGAACAGGGAGTTATAGCTCTCGCATTTGGTTAGTCATAATCTCTTGTAAATGTTATTTATAAGTTCTCAAATTTGATGGTGAACTTGTTTGTTTGACTGTTCTGTTCGTTGGGGACAGGCTACACAAGACTTTTTCAGCCAGATAAGCCTGTGACTAAGGCCCAAGCTGCTATTGCTCTAGCCACTGGGGAGGCTTCTGACACAGTTAGCGAGGAGCTTGCACGTATTGAAGCAGAATCTATGGCTGAAAATGTTGTTGCTGCTCATAGTGCTTTAGTAGCTCAAGTCGAGAAGGATGTCAATGCAAGTTTTGAGAAGGAACTTTTGATAGAGAGGGAAAAGATAGATGCTGTGGAGAAAATGGCAGAAGAAGCAAGGCGTGAATTGGAAAGGTTAAGAGCTGAAAGAGAGGAAGATAATATTGTCTTAGTGAAGGAACGAGCAGCTATTGAATCAGAAATGGAAGTGCTGTCAAGGTTAAGACGTGAGGTGGAGGAACAGTTGCAGAGTCTTATGAGTAACAAAGTGGAAATATCATATGAAAAGGAAAGAATTAGCAAACTACGGAAAGAAGCAGAGGAAGAAAGCCAGGAAATTGAACGCTTACAATATGAACTAGAGGTTGAGCGAAAAGCTTTGTCCATGGCCAGGTATGAAAGGAGCAATCCACAATTATAGGAGGCAAACTGTAGCTAGCTTTTAACATTTGATGCTTTCATGAGAAAAATTAGGAGACTGGTAGAAAAACTAGATAACTAAAGTGTCAGTTTTCATTTATGTTGACACCTCTCCTATTATTTGTTTAAGTCTATGATATGCCAACGTTTTTTTATTAGTCCCATAACTCTGGAGTATGTTTAAAAGTTGCGTGTTGGTTAATCTGTCTCAACATAGGAATAGTTCTTAAATTTCAATTTCTTTGATCTTGGTCAATAAAAGAGATGATACACAAGTTTGGTATAGGAGACTGATAAACTCAAGTTCTATGTTCTGCAATCTGTCATCTAAATGTTGAACGTTACAGCAACTTTCGTGGCTACATTCGATGATTTTCTCTCTTTCCACATGCTACAGAGCTTGGGCTGAGGATGAGGCAAAAAGAGCAAGAGAACAAGCCAAAGCACTCGATGAGGCTAGAGATCGCTGGGAGAGGCATGGGATCAAGGTTGTCGTTGACAACGACCTCCGTGAAGAATCCTTGGCCGGAGTTACATGGGTCGATGCCAGCAAGCAGTTCTCGGTTGATGAAACAATTAGCAGGGCTGAAAACTTGACGGACAAGCTCAAGGCAATGGCAGTAGATGTAAGAGGGAAATCCAGAGATATACTTAATAGGATCATTCAAAAGATAGCTCTGCTGATAGCAAGTTTGAAGGAATGGGCATCCAAGGCTGGGAAAAAGGCAGAAGATCTAAGAGACACCGCCATTTCGAAGGCCAGTGAATCAACACAAAAGTTGCAGCAGAGCACCTCTGAGGTTAGCTTGGCCATCAAAGAAGGCGCAAGGCGAGTCGCGGGAGATTGTAGGGATGGAGTCGAGAAACTCACCCAAAAGTTCATAAAGACATGAATGGTCTCTCCCGCTTGTCGTCTCTCCCTTATTTGCTGGCTAGAGTAGGCGGCTACCGTCTCCCCTCCAATAATTCTCATGAGGTGAATACTGGTTATTAATAAGTCCGGAATGATGTGGGTTTTCTACTTCTCTTTTCCATCCTTTTTTTGCCATGTATTTAGAAAGGTGGCTCTCAAATTCCACCGAAGCGGAATACAGAGATGTATTTGGAGCAGTTCCTAAGAACTGATTTTGAAAGAGCAACTAATTATGCAAATTGGTCATAGGTCTTTGATGATATAAGAAATCTTATTTGTAAGGGTTTTGTTTCAAGGAAACAAAGAACAAAAAATAAAAGAGATCTTGTTGCATCCGGTTGATTCCTTAAAAGATTTCTTAGAAGATGTAGCGAAGCCAGTAAATATTGGAACTTGGGTATAATCACTGGTTTTAGTCTCAATTTGCTTAAAACATAATCAATAGTACCATTAACATAGTAATTACTGAAACAGCAGGGTTGCTTTAATTCAGTCGAATACACGGCTACAAACTATCAAGTATCAAATATCAAGACTTAACAAAACAAAATTAAGAAAAAAATGCGTTTAGAATTCGTTCTAAAATGAATTTATTTGTTGTCTGAAAATGAAAATAAAAATGTTTTCAATCTCTGACAAAAATCATTTTTAAAAATGCGTTTGATAGTTTTATCAAGATATTATTTTCAATATAAAAAAAATATATTAATGTCTCATTCTCTCTTTTTCTACTCGAGAAAGGAGAAAACAGAAACAAAAAATAAAAACCGATTAAAAGTCATTTTTCATTTATTTCTTATTTTACACTAAATCAAAAGATCGTTTTCATTTCCGATTTCTGTCTCTAATTGTGCCAAACACCGTTTCTCTCCCGTTTTTATTTTTTATTTCTCGAAAAACATAAAAAATAAAAACAACTTCAAACACGGCCTTAAAGTTCCTGACTCGAACATTGCATAGATTGGATAACACATTCTAACAAGCTCGCTTCTAAGCAGTAACCTACAACTTGCAAAAAAGAAAAAAGAACCGTCTCATTTCTTCTTCTCTCCGCCTCCACCAGCTCTGCAATGCAAAATTCATACGAGAAATAAGAGATTGCAAATGTGAACCCCAAAAGCTATGTTATCAAGAAGCCATTTGTACGAGAAATGGAAAGTCTCAAAAATTACCTCATCTTGCGGAGAACGTTGGACATCTCCTCACGCTTCTTCTTTGCCCTCTTGTGGGTACCAAGCTTTCTCTTAGCCACTTTCAGTGCACGCTTGTCCTTCCCAACCTTCAGAAGCTCAGTAATTCTCTTCTCATATGGTGCAAAACCCGCGACTTCACGGATCAAGCTTCTTACGAAATGGACCCTCTTACTGGTTTTCTGCGAAATGATTCGGTTCTTAGTGCCAAGATAGGGAAGTAAAGGTAAAAATAGTTCAAACTTCAAGGATCACAAAAGAAACACAAATTTCTGCCCTCATAAGCTGATAAGCAAAAACCATCGAAAAACCAAACTAAAAGCAAAATGCAAAGTAACATAAAATGGTGAAAAGTTTGGAAGAATTTCCAAGTCAATGAATCATGGATTGGATGGAACAAACTTACTCCTTTGCGATCAGAGGGGCGTGGAGCCAATTCCTTCTTGGTGACCACATGGCCTTTGTTCAATCCCACGAAGAGGCCTGTATTTGGCTGCTTTGGTGCCATTTCCTGGTTCAATAAATCAATTCAGATTAGATCCAGCGACCAAAAAAAAAATATTTGAATTCAGAACATTGACTCAAACCATTTCAGGTGAAAAAACATGAATTTCATCACACAGTTCCAAAAATCATTGCACAGATATGTACAACAAATTACAAAATCTATCAACAACGTAAAAAGGAAAACATTTCATACAATACTAACTTGCACCCTCTCGAAAAAAGAAAAGAAAAATACTAACTTGCACAGAATCGTGAAAGTCAAATATAGATTGTTCATCAATGCGAGTATGCGACCAAAAAAATCATGTCTTTAACCGGTAATAACACGAAATAAACAATATATTATGCAAAGAGATGGATCGCACAACACGGAAACTCATAAATTGACATAACTGCTTCACAAAATTATAAGTAACTAATCGATACAACAGCTTTGACGCGCAATACGAAATGAAACGAATAATAGCCAAGCCCTGTAATTTTACACGAGTACGAGACTACTTACAGAAAAAGAAAAAAGAAAGTTTGCATTTAGACCCTTTCGGTTCTTTTTCAATTTTCCTTTCTTTTCTTGGAAACCAAACAGAGGAGACACCCGTTTTCAACACACAAAGGAAATTGGAAAACTTATCAGAAAAATGGGGAAATAGGGTTTTACCGCAGAGCTTCGGCGACAACTGGGGCGGTTTGGGGAAGAATACGAGTTTTGAGTTCTAGGAGGGTAGTTTAGTCATCTCAAATAGGCCTATTGTTGGGCTAATAGGTTAGCCCATAAATAAGAACACGGCCCACATTCTTTAGTGACGGGCCCTACTCCAAAGAAAACTTACAAAACGGGGGGATCATCGAAAGGGAGAATAACGGGTTCACTAATTCGAGTTTTTAATTTTAAATTTTTACAGTAAAAAATTTTTAAAAAATATCATATTTAATTTAATCTATTATAATTAAAAATTTTTAAAAAATATTACATCTCAACTCAAATTAAAAACTCAAATTTACAAAACGAACAAGGCCTACAAAATTTCTCCGAAAGAAACAGATAAAATACATGATGCCATTGCATGTTTTTGCTAGAAACTACAATGTAATTTCCTTCTATTTAAGATGATTTTTATTTTTTCTGCAGCCAACAACGCAAAAAAGAGTATTTAATTGTCAGTCATGTACGTCACTGTTTGGACCACTTTCGTAATCCCGTTGGTTTGCTTGAATACGCTTACATGAGTATGTTTCAACTTTTAGTACTCGTTTGTTTAGTTTTTAATTTCTGCTCACTTACCCCACCGATCCAAATTATAGATTTCAATCGTGTTGTCTGTGCGTTCCTATCCATAATCTATATCCAGCCGTCCATCATTTTGTGATGATTTGATCCGCTAAACTTTCGTGTCGTGTTTGTGTAAATTTCAAAACTTGGATCCCACCCGAATCTGAGTACAAAGAATTCTTCTGCTTTAATGAGTGCTCGACACAACAATCCAATCAAAATCTTTGTATCCTTTTATTTTTTAATGTTAAAAATCTAATTTTTCAATTCAAATTAAATAAAAAATCATTCACAATGATACGAGATAAATGAGTGCGCATATTATTTACATCAATTTGTATTTTTTTTTTCAAAACATTACAAAGTGTATTAAATATAAATATATAAGTAAACAAAAAATTTGTTCTTAAATCTAATATTCATACATTTTTGTCTACTCATCGTGTTTCAAGAGTCGTAGTATTGCGCATCACACCAGTTACTATGGGCTTATTAATGCAGGTGTGTGAAAATTTATAAGTGTGTTTAGTACACCGTAAAAAACTCCGCATTGCATTGCTAAATAATTATATAATATTTTGTGATATTTATATATTGTATAATTTAATATACAATACAAAGTATGATATCTAATATAAAAAAAATCTATGTATTAGATCGTATTGTACAATTTAACTTAAAATATTATATTAAAACATATAAAATATTTCACAAATATCAAAGCTTGGGTTGGGTTTTGAGAGCGATTAAAAAAATTACATTTCAACCCTTAAACTTTTTAAAAATTATATTTAACCCCCTAAACTTTTTAAAAATTATGTTTGACCCCTATTGTTTAAAATTATATTTTGACCCTTTAACTTTTTTAAAATTATATTTTTGCCCCTTAATTTTTTAAAAATTATGATTACCCCATTTTAAAATTTATTTTATAAAAATACCCCTATGTAGCAACTCTATTTTCTCTCTTGTTTCCTCTAAATGTTGGGTTAGGGTTGAGATTATAGCCAAATTAAGTTATGATTAGGCCTAAATTTTATCTTATTACAAACTAATACGTAAATAGATTACAATGGTAAAAATAATATAATATTTAATAATATCACCAACAAAATATCGCATTATATAAAAATTATATAATGCAATATAATACTATACGATACAATACAATACGGTGCACCAAACATACCCTAACTACTGTCTTAAGTAATAGTAGTTGAATTGATGAAGCTTATTATGTCTTATGTTTTAGTAGTTGCAAACATGAAAACAAAACTATATTTCTGCACTAAAGTATTTTTTTGCGCACATGTGGTTAATAGTTTAGAGAGTTTTTTTTCACCACTCAAGTTCTTAGCTCATATTTTTATCTTTATTGTCGTGTTTGATAGTGTACAATCATATTGTGCTCATTCTCAAAAAAATCGTGTTGTAATCGTCGTACTTAATAGGCAAGTCGACTCCATTCACATTGATTTGGAATTTGTGACATCTTTTTTAACTAATATACTCGTAACATTTCTTACTCATCGGAGCCAACATGATTAAAGTGATAATAATAATATGTCCGAACAATCTCGGCCAAGGCCCGACCTTTTTGTGAGGAATGAGATATTTTTCTCTTCCTCCCATATGCCTGGCAAATGTATGTATTTTTATTTCGATTAACGTCATATTTTATAATTACGATTTTATTATAAAAAGTTTCCGTTCATTTTACTGATTTGAGTTTAAAATTTAAATTTTGTTACAGTTAAAAACTCTAAAAAATAGTCACATCTAACTTTTTTGTTACAATAAAAAGCTCTCACATAAAATCACATCTCAACTCAAATCAACGAGTTAAACGGACCTTAACTCAAAACAATATTTATGAAACACTAGGTGACGTTTGGTATATAAATTCTGTTATAGTGTAAACCCATAATTTTAATTCTGTTACATTATTTTTTTTTAATAAAAATTTAATTTTAAAAGTTATAATAAAAATTTAAATTTAAATAATCTTAATTTAAACTCATGTACTATGAGTCCTGCAATCAAACTTTTCTCATAACATTCAATTTCTACGATAAAAAAAAAAATCACATTAAAATTCAAAAAGAAAAAAATGATGGCCTTCAACAACTTACAACAGTGTCCCAAGCATATTGTAAATAAATAAAAAAAAATCCTTATCTTTTAACGTTCTCTACCCAAAGGCAAAAACTAGAGAACGTGGGTAACGTGGTATTATGAGAAGAACAGCAGAGGCGGACGCTAGATTTACCAAAAGAGGAAGCCTCAGGAAAAACCACAACGCAAATTACACTTACTGCCACTTTTAATCAATGCCATGGGCTTAGTCCCATTTGACTTGCAGGTGTAGAATCCTTTACATGGTATATGTTATTTCTCTCTCTCTCTCTCTCTCTCTCTCTCTCTCTCTCTCTCTCTCTCTCTCTATATATATATATATATATATATATATCTCTCTCTCTCTCTCTCTCTTTTTTAATAATTTAATTTCTTACCAACTTCATAATACTACAACTCAGCGCAACCTGTCTTTTGAAAATCAAAGAACGGTATTTTCTCCTATTTTGCTTTCATCAATGGAAGTCAAAACCGCTCTCCTCAATCATCAATCTCTTTTCCAAGGAGGAACACTTCATCATGTCCTGTAAGTCCAACAGTATTGATCCTTACTGAAACTTCCTATCTGGGTTTCTCTTCTTAGTTTCTCTCTTCGCTGTTTCTTGTCGTATTAGGACTGGAAATTATGATGATCAGCAGCTAAACTTCTTTCACTGTGTAGAAGAAGCTTTATTGTAGAGACCCATTTGATTCTACTGTCATACAGATCCATTGTTGATTTATTTCCGTTATTTGTTTTTATTTCTGTAACATATCTTGAATTTGTGTACCTTTTCTTCTATTAATTTATGCCCCTTGTAATTCTATTCGAAAATTTTCAGTTCTTACACTATATCTGCAATTTATTTCCTTAATTTTTTTTATTATTTCTAGTTCATTTTTACCATCTCCACATCTCAAAGGCTCAAACTTCCCATAATTCAGTTCCTTCCTTCTGGAGTTTTCTTTTTCCCCTTTATTTTTAGTTGAAAAGTTCCTTGTAGCCTTACTTTGGGTGTCCATATATCTATTCCAAGTAAAACATAATTTCTCAATTGAAACTTCTATACCATAACCGAGCACTTTGGTCTATCTTAGTATGATTAACCTATAGGCATCAATGTCAATTCTATGTGGCTTCCCTCTTCTAGAATGTGTTTACTGTCTGGCATGTGCCCGCTGGGCTTGGAAACGATGTCTCCACACAGCAGGCCATGACAGTGACACTTGGGGCCTTGCCACTGCCGAAGAATTTGAGCCCGTCCCTCGCCTTTGCCGATATATTCTGGCCGTCTACGAAGATGATATTCGGCAGCCTCTTTGGGAACCTCCAGAAGGCTATGGAATCAATCCAGATTGGTTGGTCCTTAAAAAGAGCTATGAAAATACACAAGGGCAAGCTCCTCCTTACATATTGTACCTAGATCATGATCATATGGACATAGTTCTTGCATTTAGGGGGCTTAATTTGGCAAAGGAAAGTGACTATGCGGTTTTACTGGATAATAAGCTGGGAAAGAGGAAGTTTGATGGTGGGTATGTTCACAATGGGCTATTGAATGCCGCAGGATGGGTTTTGCACACGGAACGTGAGGTTTTGAAGGATTTGGTGTTGAAGTATCCACATTATACTTTGACTTTTGCTGGGCACTCTTTGGGGTCAGGTGTAGCAGCATTATTAACAATGTTAGTGGTGCAAAACCGGGATAAATTGGGAGACACTGACCGGAGAAGAATCAGGTGTTATGCCATTGCACCTGCCAGGTGTGTGTCCTTAAATTTAGCAGTTAGATATGCAGACGTAATCAACTCCGTTGTGCTTCAGGCAAGTTCTTGATCATTCTTTTTTTGTTTGGTATTGTTGTCAATTCAATAGGCAGAAGTCCAACTCAATATGTGTCTAGTAAAGATTTTTGACAGTCTTTGTGTTTGTTGGTGATGCTGGAAATCAAAGCTTTACTTCGAGCTGAGATTATAGAGAGAAAAATTGGACTTCGTCGTTTATTGGTATTTCTTCAAGTTTTCATTTCTAAAATAAAATGTTCAGAGTAACTTACAATATGAAAGAAACATAGTATGTAAATGGATTCATTTCCTTTGTATTGACTTGATTTATTATACTATCGGAGTGAAAGAAGAGATCTAAAGAAGAACAGTGACTGCATAGAGATGTCTTATCTGTTTATGATACTTTTTGTGTGGTAAATAATGTTGGACATTTAAATTTGAAACATATGTCACAATTTTAGCTGCAAGTATGCTCTTTAGAGTTGATTGTGATTTTTACACTGAATCAGGATGACTTCTTACCCCGCACAGCCACACCTTTGGAAGACATATTCAAGTCACTTTTCTGGTAACGTTGTCTCTGGTCATCCTTTAAGTTATAGCTCTTTTTAAGATTATATTTTTATTCGCATTGCTACCTATAGAAATGACATTTTTTGCATTCCATTTGCTACAAAAGGAATTTTTATAATAAATCAACAATGTTCTAAAAGCTTATTTCATTGAAGAAGCTACAGCTGTATAGCTCAGTTCACAACTTGTTCAATTATATTATAGTCCACACACTTATTTCGATTCAACTTCTTGATAAAGCTTGATTCTCTTCATTGAACAGTTTGCCGTGCCTACTATGTCTAAGATGCATGAGGGACACATGCATACCAGAAGAGAAGATGATCAAAGATCCCAGGAGGCTGTATGCACCCGGCCGCCTCTATCACATTGTTGAGAGAAAACCTTTCAAGTACGTACACGCTGTGTGTATAATTTTTCATATTCTCAATTACTGGAGACACTTTGTCACTAATAGAATATCCTGCAGCTCAAGCTGTACTCTTTTTCTAAGTTTATGTTCCTTGTTCTGAATGCTAGTGTGGTTATTATCTAAGTTTTGTATCAGAGATATGGTAAATTGGTAGTGCTTGTTGGGCCTATCATACCAATCCCATGCAAGTTTAAAAGAGCGGAGAAAAAATATAAGCAAACACTTTGTTTAAGGTAGAAATAAGCATATTTAAGGCATCTCGATTGTTAATAATGATTCTGAACATGTATTATTCATGTCCGGCTTAGAAATATGGGCTAACCTATAGGTTCATAAGTTAAGCATTGCACGTAGTTCTTGGATAGGCGCTGTTTTTAGGTTCATAAGTTAAACATCGCACATAGTTCTTGGATAGATGCAGTTTTTAGGTCCAATTTTCGATCTTTGAATCTTTTAAACAAAAATCCAAACTAGTTTCGTATTTTTTCTTACTCCCTTAGTGCCCCATAAGAGCGAGTGTTTTAACTTTATGTATGATTTTATACTAGTCTGATCATATAAAAATTTGGATTTAAGATTTACAATATTATAGATCCAAAATGTTGCATGCACATTATAAGTTCAAGAATAGTGCACACTTCATCGTCATATATATCTAAGATACGCATGCTGAGTTCTCTCTCTAAGTTGCGACATATAATGCTGTTCAATATATATTACTTGTGCTTCATCTAGCCAAGACAAATAGATTTCATACTGAAACGTTTCCTGATCTGGAACCAATTAAACGTTGAGAACCGAAGATGTCTGTAGTTTTTTGGCCTATTACGAGTTGCGGAAAATTGCTAAACTCTTGGAATTCCATCCGTGGAATTTTTTATTTATTTATTTTTTTACAGGATGGGAAGGTTTCCCCCAGTTGTAAGGACAGCAGTGCCAGTAGATGGGAGGTTTGAACACATAGTACTTTCTTGTAATGCCACTTCTGATCATGCTATCATTTGGATAGAGAGAGAAGCCCAGAGAGCTCTAGATGTAAGTCTTATATGTCTCTTAAGCAAGGTTTAGACTACTTAATATCTCTTATTTTTCTCGTTTTATCTTGCTCGATTTTCGTTCAATTCTGAACTCTCTTCTTTTGGTAATTCTACTCTCTCTCTCTCTCTCTCTCTCTCTGACTCTTCCCTTTCCTCCCTACTGTCCTACATCAGTTTCCTTGTATAAGAAAATCATAGATTCTTTGAAAAAGGAAAAGAAAAGGAAAAGGAAAGAAAGAAGGGGTTAACTAGACTTATGAGAAGAGCAATCATTTAACAGACCATTTTTTTCCCCAATAATCTCAATTTTGCATCCTTTTCCCCTTGATACAGATAATGTTGGAGAAAGATCATATAATGGAGATTCCAGCAAAGCAAAGGATGGAACGGCAAGAGACATTAGCCAAAGAGAAAAGTGAGGAGTACCGGGCTGCACTTCAGAGAGCTGTTAAACTGGCCGTGCCTCACGCATACGCACCACCTTCTCAGTATGGAACCTTTGACGACGAGCCTTGGGACAACTCGCCCGAATCAAGTGGCGAATCTTCTTTCGGATCATCCAGGAAAACCAGGGGCAAAGAAACCTGGGACGAGCTGATTGATCGTATCTTTGACAAGGATGAGTCTGGTCACCTTGTGTTTAAGATGTCACATAGCAGGGATGATTGATTATAGTAATTTGAGGCTAAATGAGAGAGAAGAATAGGAATATGTTTGCAGAGGATCATATTCATTTATTCATTTTGTAATTTTCGTTTTGAGTTGAACTTGTGCTATTGTAATGACAGATTTTGTTCTCTGCATGTATTTTAGTGATATATTAATAAAGAGTTTATTAGCATACCATGCCTGAACTGAGCTACAACATGGAGATGAAATATTTGAACATCTATATCATAAAAGGAAATTTGCCACTAATTTTTAGCAGCCAAAATCCCCTTCCAAAAAAAGAAATGATGGATATACTACCGGTATTATACAATTTTGAAATGTTTTTGTGTTAAATTTACATGTCAATTTGGTGAAAATACAATATTATATAATTTTTTATAGGGAGAAAGAAGAAAATAGACCAAGACTTGAGATGAATTAAAATTAATAAGCCAATAGTTTACATAAGTTAATAAATATGCTAAATTACTGTTTTCGTCAATAACTTGTCTGGTTATGAACCATAACTTGACAAGTTATTGTACATAATTATTCATAACTTGTCTAGCTATGAACCATAACTTGATAAGTTTGTCCATAACTTATCAAGTTATGAACCATAACTTGACAAGTTATGGCCTATTAATTTTTATAACTAAAAATTGGCCTATATATTTTTTTAAGCTTTTCATATTAGATTATTTTTTACTATTTCTCTTTTTTTATATATCTTCAGTATACTTCTTTTTAGTCTTTATTTTGCCTTTTTGAGTTAAAAAATAAATTTATGTGATAAAAATATTGTAACAGAGAATATTGAAAACTTTTGTAAGAGAATTTTATAATAAAATCTTGAGTTATGATTTAAACCGAACAAACGCACGAAACCTTAAGTTTATATATATATATATATATTTTCCGAGATTGCGTAAAAGGGTAAAGAATAAAAAACATTAATAATATTCCAAGCTTGGGAAGTGCACGAGAAAAAGCACATAGCCAAAACGAATAAAGCTAAAAATACAAATAAAGAGTTACCGAGGGCTTTGTAAAAAGCGGTCCTTCTTCGTAAAAAAAAAAAAATGAAAGTGGTCATTTTACTAATTTCATTTTGTTCGATAATTATTTTAGCATATTTCTCAGAGTTATACTTCAAATCTCTTGGCAGCAAATTTCACGCTCGATTGGTTCAGTTTTCGTTCTCTTGGAAATTTTGGCGTTCTCTTCGCTCACCAATGGCTTCCTTTCTCTCTTTCCTTCTCCTTTTGGCGGTTTCTTCTTCTTCTTTCCTTAGCTGTTCTTCTTCCGAAATGTAAGGAACCCATCTTAATTCTCTCTCTCATTGTGCGTCTCTTCCTAAATTAACGTTTGATGGCCATTGTAGATTTACCGCAAAGTTTGCAACTTTCCTTCTAATTCGGATGAAAATCCTGTTTACTCTGTTTCTGTTTTGTTGTTATGTTTGCTTAATTCATGGATATCAATGAATCTTTCGTAAATCTCACTATATTATAAGCAGCTTCGAAACTGATGGTGTTTTCTTGATCTGGGTTCTTTTATGATGCTGTGGATTTCTGCGTGTGGAAAATGTATTTTTCCTCTTTTTTCATATCTTACTATACAATATTCCTTCTTCATTTATGCTATTGATTAAACCGAGTTACTGAATTTCCAAGCAATGCCTTTTACAGTTTTTTGTTTTTTGTTTTTTTTTAATTCTTCAGTTCTTCGTTTATTTCTTGGTAACGTTTTGCTATTGCTATTTTTAGTAGCCGGAAGGAATTAAGGAGCAAGGAAACCAACCAGATAACCAACAAAAAACTGAACTTTTCGGTTCATTCCAACGTAATTGACCCTTCACGGGTTGTTCAACTCTCTTGGCGACCAAGGTCAGGTATATAGATGAGCTTCTTATTTGATGCTTCTTAGTTGTTACTTCTTTATATTTCATACACTTGTCATTTCACTATCCATATATCATATGAGGTTCGCAATTCAGCCTTCCTTGAGATGCATATGCAGTATTATCTGGTATTCTGAGTTTGGTATTCTTTGAAATAGGGTCTTCTTGTATCAAGATTTCCTATCGGATGAGGAGTGTGACTACCTGATTTCTTTGGTAATTATATACTCTCCCGTGCTGCCTTGCCTTGCTTTCGATATCTCAATTGTTTATGCTTTGAACAGTTCTTTAAGACGTACACTTGCTTAGGTACATAAAAGAAATGAAAAATCTTCAAGTGATGGTAATGGCTCAGGAGACACCATCACAAAAGGCCAGCTAAAGGGCTCGGAAACTCCTGACGACATAGTTGTAAGATTTCATGCCGTTTCTTTTCTTCCCTGGATTTTATTAATTAAACAGGAATAAAAAAAGTCTCACTTTTACAAAATTTTCTTGCTTTACTAACTCTGAGGTGTATACAGATTTATGAGATTTCTTTTGGTATGATACAAAAAAATACCCTACCAGTGTTTTGAACTGGCAACTTTTATGTACTTTTTCATTTTGATGTGGTATATAGTGTTTTCTATATACCACCAGTGTTGTTAAAGTGTATGTGCTGATTTTTAAGATCAATATTTAATCATCACTGATCAGGTGGCTCTTGCAAGCATACTGATATCGCACCTAGACCTTTGTGGTTGTTAGTTTTACTCAAAATAACTTTTCGTTTTTCCAGGATGAGGTAGTTTCAAGGATTGAGGAAAGAATTTCAGCCTGGACTTTCCTTCCTAAAGGTATTTTCCCTTGATGCCAAAAAGATTAGTATTTCATCTCCTAGTTTTGAACTTTGAATCTTGCTTTATGTACCTTTCTGATTCTGTATTATGTACTCTTGCTTTGCTCTTATTTTTCCTTCAGAGAATGGAAAAGCTTTGCAGGTATGGCGTTATGAGAATGAGGATTCTCAAAAGGACTTAAATTACTTTGGTAACAGTTCCTTACTGCAACAAAGTAAGCCTTTGATTGCAACAGTCATCTTGTATCTCTCAAATGTCGCCCATGGTGGCCAGATTCTGTTCCCAGACTCAGAGGTGAGAGGAAAACCATCTATCTTAAGGCATGGAAAAATTCTATCCAACCTGGTTGGGAAAAAGCTCACAACTTGAAAAATGTTAAGTTTAGCAACATTGCTAACACAAATAATTTCAAAAGAAATCATTTCATATGTCAACAACATTGACAACATTTCTGTTAGCGACATTGCCAACTCATTTTTTATAATGTTCATGTTCCGATATATTCTCGCTATCGGGCCACAGTATTTCTAAATCATGGTATAACTATTAATTAGCACATGTTAGATTCAAAATCACTATATCTTAAAATGTTTCAGGTGAAAGACAATATTTGGTCGGATTGTACAAAGAGTGACAACATCCTAAGACCAACTAAAGGCAACGCAATTCTGTTCTTCAACATCCATCCTGACACATCTCCTGACCCTAGCAGCTCACACGCAAGATGCCCGGTGCAGGAGGGGCAAATGTGGTGTGCCACCAAACTCTTTCATGCAAAAGCCATTGGTGGAGAAGTTACCTCATCCAAATCGTATGACGGTGAATGCTCTGATCAGGATGAAAATTGCCCCAGGTGGGCTGCCACGGGAGAGTGCGAAAGAAACCCTGTCTTCATGGTTGGTTCTCCTGATTACTACGGGACATGTAGGAAGAGTTGTACTGTATGCTGATGGGCAAAACATTAATTCTTTCTTTTTTCAGTTGGTTTTAAGTTCTATAGCAAAATGAGCTAGCAACTACTAGCCATTCTCTTTTATGAGCTCTATATACCTAATTACTTAAGTGAAACAGACAGTTGAAAGCAGAAGATAGATATTCCATTACAGATACTTTTCTTGTTATTTTCTTCAACGCAATAATGAATTGTTTTTCCTTTTCACTCCATTTGTATGAATATTGTTCAAACTTCAAAGGTACATCCTAATCAACAGAAAACATAATGGGGATTGTACCGTTATTCACAACCAAAAGAAACTGCCCCTTCACAACATCACAAACATTCAACATAAGCTAATGCTTCAAAAACAAGATTGAATATTTCACCATGTTCAATTGAAAAAAAAAAATATAATAATAAAACAATAGAAATTCAATAGAATCTAATACAGAACCCAATTGGGTAAAAGTTGCAAAATTTATTGAAGATCTCTAAATATCAGCAATAAAAAAGAAAAAGAAAGAAAAAAAAAGGAAAAATCCCCTCCAAGATCTTGATAAGAGATCAGGGTGAGGCCAGATTATTATTGGGATTTGGGGGTGATTCTAGGGATTTTTGGGTGGGTTTCTTATGGGAACATGAAGATTTGAAGGCCTCAATCTGGGACTGGCACTTGAAATGGTCTCCCTTGGTCTCTTCCAAGCATTTCTTCAGGGCTTCAACGTCGCACACCGATGTCGTCTTCTTCGCGCTCTCCATCGTCTCCAACCCAATAATCGGATTCAGAAACGACAACTGAAGTTTTCAGTTTTCAGTTTTATCGCCAGTCCGTTTGGCGGCTGGGAAAATGCAAGAGTTTAGCGTGTACTCTGTAGGGCCTCCTCGTTTTTTGCTAAAAGATGAGTTAATAACGAGTAGTTTGATGACTGACTTGATTTGTTCGTTCCTGTTTAACCGCCAAAACGACGCTTCCATGCTAAAGTTTGGTGTCGTTTTGGTTGCCAAACAACATGTTGATTGTCGTATACAGGCGTTTGTTGTTTTCTAGTAGCAAACTACATGTCGTTTGTTTTGTAAGATTGTATATCAACTTTGTCGATTTGTCAAGCATTTCTTTTTAAAGAGAGACATTTTTCTCTTTTTACCTTTACCATATAATTGCTTTTCCAAGGAAGTCCATCTTCTTCATTCATTCCTTGTATATCAAACGAAAAGATAACAACTTCGCATCAACTTCGTATAGAGAGAAAGAATGAATCCCATTATTAGGATCCACATGCTAGCAATCCTGCAGAGTTACAACAATGGGAGTCGAAGGGTAAAGAAAAGAATAATTTGAGTTGAGATGTAATTTGAAGTGAAAATTTTTTACTGTAACAAAGAAGTTAAATATGACTGTTTTTAAGAAATTTTTAACAAAACTCGAAATTTCTCAAAACTCGAATAAATAAAATGAACAGGGTCAAAATTTTAAAATCTTTTATACACGAAAAACTCTCAAATACAAATGAAAACCATCCTTTTAACTTTTTCCAAATTTTCTCATAAAACAAAAAAAAAATTGCCCATTTTCTTGAACTCCCAAATACAAATGAAACCCCTCCTTTAACTTATTCCAAATTTTACTCACAAAAGCAAAAGAAAAAAAAAAAGAAAAAAGAAAAAACTCTTTTCTAATTTTCTTTTATAGGTAATTTCCTTTTTTCCCATTTACGCATTAGATATTTTTTCTTTTTTTTTCTTTTTAAAAGTTCCATGGAGCGTCAGCTACGCGCCAGGTCTGCACAATTTGAAAAGCACCCTCAGCCTCGTCAAGCCCTAACGGCTACTTGCCAACCAAAATAATACCAGAATTCCCAATCTTCCTCTGCAAGCAGACCAGACTCCTGAGAAAAATCTTCTTTTTAAACTCGAAATCGAGACTTCTCTCGTCTTCCATTGCAAGATCCTCGAGTTCTTTGCTCGATCTTCCATGGCTCTCTGCGCTTCCAATCTCCCCAACAACAACAACAACGACAACAACAACAACGTGATTGGCTCGCGTAAGGTTCGCCTAATAGCCAAAATCAGGGGCTTTTCCGACCGGGAAGCTGAATTCCCAACTGGGTCTTCTTGGATCTCCGTGAACAAGCCCAACGGAGACGCTTCCAAGCCCGTCACCGTCACTTTCGGAGACCTCTCTGCAAGGTACTCTTGAATTCGGCTTTCTTTCTTTTCTTTTTAAGAGCGAGCAATATTGTAAGTTTTGGTTTCTGAGAAAAAAGAAATAAAAAGAGGGAAAAAGAAAGTTGAATTTTGGTTTTACTTGTTGGGTTTCTTTTTAGTTGTATTTTTCACTGCACAATGAAAGCTAATTTCTTTGGGTTTTTTTTTTTTTTTTTTTTTTCATATACAGTCGTAAGGATTCTTATGAAGTGGACTATTGCTATGAGCAAAGTGAAGACAATGAGTTGATATTTTCAAGAGAAGTGAAACCTCTAATTTCTGGGGTTTTTGATGGTTGTAACGCCACTGTTATTGCCTATGGAGCAAGAGGCAGTGGAAAGACTTCCTTAACTCAGGTGGGTTCAGCTCTCCTTTGGTTATCTATGTATCTATCTATATATATATATATATGTGTGTGTGTGTGTGTATGTATGTATGTATGTATGTATACACACCAATAGTGGTCCTATATTGTTTTCTTTGGATGAATTATTCTTATAATTGACAAAAAAATCACTCAACTTTGAAGGGTTCAACTGAGAAGCCTGGATTGGCAGCACTTGCAATAGCTGAAATTCTCTCACTGGCCGAGGATACTGGAAAATCAGTCACTATTTCTTTCTATGAGGTTTACCAGGATCGTGTTTGTGACCTATTGGATTCGAAGCAGCAAGCGGTTTTTGTATTGGAAGACAAACAAGGAAAAATTCAACTTAAGGGACTTTCTCGGGCAAGTTATTTGGTCTTTTAGTTTGTTGGATTATAGAAAACAATATTTCAGCCTTTGTTACATCTTTATGATGTTTCATTTTCCAGGTTCCCTTGAAATCAATTTCAGATTTTCAAAAGTTATATGTTGAATTCGGTTTACGTAAACCAACACAAAAGGCGGTAACTGAGCTTTCTCGTAAGGGCCACAAGGGATTGATAGTTCATATCTCAGCTACCAATGAAAAGTTAGATACTCTTGCTGCGAGCAAGATGAATTTTGTTGATTTAGCAGGTTCTACATTTTACTAACATTAGAATTAACTACCATTTCACAGTATTTTTCTTTCTGCCTGTTTTCTTATTGGATTAAAAAGAAAAATTCACACCTCTTTATCAGGTTATGAAGATGTTCGAAGAAAGAGTAGTGAAAGCCTTAATGTTGTTGAGCAGACTAAAGTCAACAAGTCCATATATGCCTTGTTGAATGTCATTCATGCTTTGAGTGTCAATGAAAGACATGTGCCCTACAGAGAAAGTAAAATGGCACGCATATTACAAGATTCTCTTGGAGGGGTCAACAAAGTTTTGATGGTTGCTTGCTTGGTGAGGCTTTTCTTCAAGCTTTGTTTTCTCTTTGTTTTTTGAGTTGTTGACCATGTATTTGTTTCGTATAATTTATAATTCTTCTTTTGGTTATAGAACCCAACGTTTTGCCTAGATTCCATAAACATGGTGAACTTGGCATCTCGCTCTTGTCAAAAGATTAACCGGTCTGTCATCGACTCGACAAAGAAGGTTCATAGTTTGATAAGACCGATGACAATTTCATCAAAGAAAAGCCAGCTACCTAGGACTGTTTCTGCTATTGCAAAGAAACAAGCTAGCTCCCGAGTTCCTCTTTCTGAAAAGAAACTCAATGTTGGTACATCCTTTAAAGTGAAAGGAAGGTACTTACAAAATTGATTTTGTATTCCCATTTTAATAGGTTAATTCTATATTTTCCTGCCAAAAGATTGATGTCCAAATTGAAACTTTGTTTCTTTTTCTTTTATAAGGAAATTATTTGGTGAAGCAGGTGATTTTACTCCATCAAACAAGGTAATGTCTTATTTGAGTTCGCATAAAAATAGAAAATGACAAATATTTTTCTTTATTTATGTTAGGCAAAATAAAGTTTAATAATCACCTTTTTTCTTTTTAATCTTTGTAAAATCTTAATGCAGGCAAGTTCAATGTTAAAAAACGTCTCACCTGTTGAGACTATAGTGAAGGAAGAGGTAGGTTTTCAAAGGATTTTTCCTTGATTTAGTTTATATCACATCTGCTTTGAATAATTTGTAGGTTGACTCTGGTAACACTATTATCTTATTTATTGATTTATTTATTTTTGCAGGGAAAGCCCGCTGAACATGTCACTGATATCACAGTGCCTTCAGAAGAGGTAATTTGATCCTTTTTCTAAACTTCCTTTGCTTTATAATACCTTAAATTTGAAAGGTGTTGCTGACCTCAATTGACATTGATATAGGGCAATGCATTACCAATTGTTCTTAAGCATACAGAACCCACTTCTATAGTGGAAAAGGTAATGTTCAGTTGCAGAAAGAAGCAACATTCTGTAATTGGGAGTTTCTGATAGAGATGAATTTTTTTTCCCTCCATGCAGGACCATTTATCATCCGAGTCTCACAATGCACAAGTTTTTTGCTTAAAAACCGATGAAACGACTCATGAGCCTCAAAATTCACAATTTACTCCTACAGTGGGAAAGGTAATAAAAAAATTGCATAACAAAAGCACTAAAATATGTGAGATTTGCCAAGATTAAAATAACCGTGTGACATTTTTTTCTAGGCTTCCGAGTATGGTGAAAATCATCCTGAGGATGCTACTCCTTATGTTGATGTCAACATAGACACAAAGTCATTGTCTTTTGCCCCAGAAGGTTGGTTTTATTTATTTGAATCTTGAAAGCTAAGTTGATATTGTTAGATGTGAAATTGTTTGACTTTAGGTATACCATAATTGTTATATAGGCCAAAACATTGCAAACGATAACATCAATTCACTAGTCGTTGATGATAACTCGCCGCCAATAAGTTTGAGGCTGCGAGAACTATCGAACAGCTTAAAAGCCCTTTGTTCTGCAACTCCAACTCCGTTTTGCTTGAAAACGGCAGAAAAGGATGCTTCATCTCATGCTTTAGTCTCCACTGATGTTTTGGAACCAAAAACTCCAGTTACTGAACGGAGCACTATGATGGAGGATAAATGGAATGTTAAAAATGTCAACAGCCCTTGGGGAACATTTAGCGCTCGCAGTACTGGGATGAAGGTATAATTATTACCTTACAATTATTTTCAGTCCAAATAATTTCATAAATGTATCCTTCATGTTATTTTATTGTTGCAGAACTCACTTGTCCACGAATATCTGAGGTTTCTAAATACAGCTGACAAGTAAGTAATCTGATTCAATTTCTAACTATAGTTTGTTCCATACGGAAGTTAATAGAAATAGTTTTGTCCAATCAATGCTATATTTTCGTAGAAGATCCAAGACAAACAAGTCTAACATCTTATTTCTTTGTTTCACTTTTTTTCAACAGGAAAGACTTGAAGAAATTAAAGGTAAGAAGCATTATCCTCTCAGAACTAGAATATTGTTTGTAGGTTCCTTTGTCATAATTTGTGTTTATTTCAACATAGGGCATTGGAGAGAAGAGAGCAATATATATCCTCAAAATGCGTGAAGAATCTCCAGAGCCCTTCAAGAATGTAAGTATCATCAATAAAAGTAGAACTGTACATATATGCGCAGAGAAAATATTATGGTGAGTAACTAAAAAACCTTAAATTTCTTGCAGCTTGATGATCTGAAGCATATTGGTCTTTCAGGGAAGCAGGTACCTCTTTTCATTCCCAGTTTTTAATCTTTTGATTTTTTTTGTTCATACTTCATGGAAGTATTTATTTATTTATTTTCCATTCTCACTCTTTTCCTTGTATGTAATTATATTCATTGACAGTAAGTATACTATTTATCCTCAGGTTAAGGCCTTAATGAAAAAGGAAGTTGGAGGGCTTTTCGATTAACCAATCAAAGAGGGATTGTAAATGTTTCTCTTTTCTTTATGTATAGATTTTCTGTATTGCAAGACATGTTTTGTTGTCACTTGTAGAAAGGGAAATTATCTATTTGTGGTAATATGAAGTTGCCTTGTAATTCCACCTTATTTTATTGTTGCTACTTTCTATGCTTTTGTAATAATATGTACACAACCAGTTTCAACTATACATTCTCAACAACAAAAGAATACATACATACATAAATACTTGTTACTAAATGTGCCAAAGTTTTTACACGCACAAGCAAACTAACTGTTACTATAAATGATAATAGCATTTTAATTTACTTATAGTTTAATGGAATCTTTGAGATTGAGACTAGACTTTATAGAAGATCCTTCAAAAACAAAAAGACAAAAAGGTAGAGACACATCTAAGAATGGCCGTAAAGAAATTGAACTATATCATTAGTAGCTCAACAGAAGATTGATACATCAGACTAAAAAAATAGCTTGCATTTCTGGTAGCATCCGCCGTACATCTTGCAATCTATTATTTACATTGCATTTGCTTTGAGGGCTCGCCATGGCCAACATATATGTCTCACCCTACGACTACTTCGCTCTCGGCTCTCTGCCTCTTCTAATTGTCTCGATAGTTCCTCTATCCGCTCACGGAGTCCCACAGCCCTGCTGTCAGCTAGCTCTAGGGACTTCTCCGCCGCAGCCTGCGCAGCCATTGCTGCAGCTGCAAGTTCTTCCTTCAGCTTTAGTTTTCCATTTGATATGTCTAAAGCAGCCTTATTTTTCTCCAATTCTTGCTTCAGAATGGCAATCTAATGAAGCACAAATTTTGTTGAAGATAAATTCCAAAAATACCAAATGACCAAGAAAAGTTTGTTTCTTTACCACTTTGTCACGTTCTCCAATCACCAGTTTCCCAGCTTCAACCTCTAACTCACAAGCTTCCCTCCATCTTGCTACCTCTGCTTCGGTTTCTTTTATTTCCATCAAGAGCTCCTCAACCTTTTAAGCAAAAAAACGAGGGAAAATGTTAGCAGAACAAAGCATAAACAAATTTTCATGAAATTATGAATCAAGTTACTACATTTTGAGCCAACGCCCTCTCTCTTTCTTCTAACTCCTTGATGTACATCATGTTTTCCGCAATATATTGAGCTTGTTTCTCTGTAAGACTCTGCAGGCGCTCAGTGTCTGACCTGGTATGGAACTGATGTTAAGACCCGAGTAATAGAAAACCACCTAAAGATGTACTCAAAAGTGCACCATTAGTCGTTTGAACTGAACCGTTCTATAAGACGTTCTTTTGAATCCAATTTCTTTTCTTTTTTTTTTTTTTGAATTCAGTGATCAATCTACTGATGGGATACCTAGATTCTTCCAAAGATCTTCTCAACTGAGTGATCTCAATCCGTAAATTCTTCATTATCCTCTCCACAGTTGATGCCTGGCAACAACAGTTACAAGTAAACACATCATCAAACTCAACATAGATTTCAACAATTATAAGCATTATCCTTTAGCAGCAGAGAGCAAAACCCAATTCTCAAAGGCTAATCATCTAGTTAATACACAGAGTTCAAATTGTCTATACTAAAGAAAAAAGGGTGTAATTTAAAACATCCTCAATATACCAAAACCAATCTGTGAATATCTTCAGAACAGTGTAAATTGGGTTCAGTACCACTTTTGAAGTCTAGCTATTCATCGGTATACCTTTTATGTGTAAATTAGTCTTAAATTTTCTATAAAAGTGATAAATTCGAATATCAATTCTCTAAAAGTGGAATTCACTCGAAAAACACATCAACATACCAGGCTAACAATCTCCTCTTCGCACTCGCTACTATCCGACTTAGCCCCCAAACTCTCTGAAAATTGCTTAGCATTCCCACTTCCCATCATAAATCCAAACCCAGCTCTCTGCAGACCTCTTTCTGCCATCTCCAAAATGGCCACTCTCTTGTGCTCGCTATTCCCTTTCAACTTCCTCTCCACAGCTTCCTTCTCCAACAAGGCAACTCTCAGCAAATTGTTAATGTCCCTATTTTCTTCAGTCAAACTCACCACACTATTCTCCAATTCCCTCTTCTCCTTCTTCCTAATTTCTATATATTCGTTCACCTTCTCTTCGGCTTCTGAAGAAAGCCTTGTGATCATCCTCAATTCTTCGTTCAAATCCGATTCTATACCGATCAAATCGCTAATTTTTACGCCATTAGTAGCAGCCACATTATTGATGATCCTACACAAGCTCTCCTTCACGGACCTTACTGAGTCCGAAAACTTCAACAAGAAATCACTGCTTCGTTCTCTCGCGATTTCAAGTTCTTCGATTCTCTCCCCAAAAATCCCGGCTTCGTTTTCAAGCCTCTGGATTCTTGCCGCAAACTCCTCTTGTTTTTCTCTCACGTAAGCTTCGATCCCGCTAAGTCTGTCCAAAAGAGAGTCCTTTTCACTCGAGATAACTCCGACAACGACGATCAAATCTGCGGTCTGAGCTAAAGCCTCGTCTCGCTCGCGGCGGAGGAGATTCAGGGTGTCTTCCATGGCCAACGACTTCGCCTGGAGAGATTCGAGCTCGACGCAGAGATCATGGCCGGAGAATTCTCCGAGAGAAGGTGAAGAATCTGAGACGTCTGCTGGGAGTGTTTCTGAGGGATTCTCCATGAATGAGAGAGTATTAGATGAGGAGGAATCTCCATGAATAAGAGCTTGAGTGGTAAGGGAGAGAAATGGGGAGTTTTGAAAACTACCAGTCAATGGAATGGTGGGAAGGATGGTGAAGGTCGGTTAGGTACGATGATGTTCATCTGTGATGTACATGTATTTGTATATATGTTTTGGTCATCACCCCCGTTTGGTTGTGGATATAAGAAAATCCTGGACGAGAACATTTTTATCGAATATTGACTTGAGCGAATGTTCGTGCACCATTGATGAGTTCATTGATTCCCAATAAAATAAGAGTGGCAATTAAGAAATTTGAGAATTGCCACGATTTTGTTTGTTATTTAATAAGGTGAGGTGAGAGTTGAGATTAGATGATCTGAAGTCAAATAAACAAGTTCCTGCTTATGTATCAATTTTTTTAATTAAAAAAAAGGCAATTTGCTGATACATTTTCCCTTTTCTTTTCTTTCTTTTTTTTTTTTTTTTTAAATGGGAGTTCATTCTAATAAATACAAATAGTTTTGTATAACTAACCGATCTCTCTCTAATGGTCTCCTTGATAACTTAGGATTTGGATATTGATAACCGAGTTGGTCAAGTCACAAAATGTGATGTTTTTGGCGTTTCCTTAAGCAAGTATTAAATATTTTTAAATCGTTTTCCAACATTTTCCCGATAAAAGATGATATTATTATCAGCCAACAATTTTCAAGATGAGGACGATGGACTGGGATTCAATCACAGTACCACTGGAAAAGAACAAATGAGAAACCACGTTAACCCTGTTCTCTATGGCATAATCAGCTAGTTTAACAGTAAAACTTGTGGAACAAAAGTAATTCTCAAAAAATTTGAGTGGGGTTTCAAAAAATTAATCGATTGGCAGTCATCCTTTCGGAAAACAAAATAGATAGTAGAAACAGCACTATTCTAATTGGAAAATAAATATGTCCAACCAAAAATGCTTGCACACCGTCAAAAACCTTAATATTGAGACGAAAGAGCAATACATGCAATACATGCATTCAATGATTCATCAATTCAACATTTAAAAACAACAAAATCTTTAAAATAAACTAGTCTCCGATCAAAATGTTGCACAAACTAAATTGACTTCTCTATAGAGTTGGACTAAGAAGTAATAAGAAAGATCTCTCATTTCTTCTTCTCTCCACCTCCACCAGCTCTGCAAACAAATCACAAAAGAAAATGAGATAATGAAAGAGAAACCCCAATCCAATTTTCCTATGCATTTTACTAATTAGGCAATTCGATTCTTACCTCATCTTGCGGAGAACGTTGGCCATCTCCTCACGCTTCTTCTTTGCCCTCTTGTGGGTACCAAGCTTTCTCTTAGCCACTTTCAGTGCACGCTTGTCCTTCCCAACCTTCAGAAGCTCAGTAATTCTCTTCTCGTAAGGTGCAAAACCGGCAACTTCACGGATTAAGTTTCTAACGAAATGGACCCTCTTACTTGTTTTCTACATGTAAGAAAATAAAAGCAGTTAAAACATTCTGTGATAATGCCAATCATTTCAAAGCTTAGAAAATAATACAACAAAAGATCCACCTTCAAAAAAATAAAGATGCCCAAATACTAAATAAAATACCAAAATGCATGAAGATAATAGTATGAAATGGTTGAGGCACAAAAATGAATTGAACAATTAACATAACCCAAAACACAAGAACCTCGACAAAATTGAAAAACTGAGCATCCGGTAGAATCAACTTACTCCTTTGCGATCAGAGGGTTTTGGAGCCAGTTCCTTCTTGGTCACAACATGACCTTTATTCAATCCAACAAAAAGGCCCGTGTTGGGCTGTTTAGGAGCCATTACCTGGTTCAGTTATCAATTTATCTTAGATAAACCCATCAAGGATGTAATCAATATAAAATCATTAACGAAATTTATGGCAATCATTTCCAAGTCAAACATACAAGTTCAAAAAAGTTGTGCATATAATTACACATAAATGACATTAAGAAAATGAAACCTTTCAACACCATGGAAAATCATAATATATCAAATGCATTTACATCCCAGAACGGATGTAATTCAAAGTTCAAAGTTGACAAATAATATCCGTTTTAATAAAAAATTGTCACAAAAAATATCAAACCACTAAGAATGGAAATCTAGCGTTAGAACATAGATCATGAACAATAACTAAATGAAACAACAATACTATCTTCACTACACAACTAACCAAACACACAAGTATAGACAGAACAGATCCATCTCCTAAATCATTTGATTTTTCCCTAAATACGAAACCCTAACAAAAAAAACCAAACAAACTCAAAAAGGCACTCTTTCGTTTCCCGAAAGTTTAAGAAGCAACTGAAATATAGGCAAACGAACCAAAATTGCTGAGAAAAGGAAAGTTAACAAGGAAGAAATTACGCATCAAATGCATAAAAACCTAGGAATTAGGTGTTCCAATACAGTGAAATGAGATTGATACTATGTTAAGAAACACGAAAATCAAACAAGAGAACAGTTCTCAAAACCTGTTTCCGATGCTGCGCTGCTTCCAGAGGCTGGGGAGGAGATTGGCGGAGTAGATAGAAAGCCGAAGAGAAAGAAGCCCTAGAAGATATATATACATGATAAACCCTAGTTCTTTCTCAATTGGGTCGCGTATTAGCTGGGCCATCCCTCCAAATGGGCCGGCCTTTTCTTTTCTCCCTCTCGTTTATATTAGAGAAAAGGAAAATTTGAAATATAACATTGTCACGTTGAAATGTAGTGTAAGAAATAAAACATTATTTTAATTCTAAAAAAAACAACATAAAAATTATTATAATAATCGTTACGTAATTATTTTAGTCTTAATATATTTTTAAAAATTTACTGAGTTTCAGTTACTCTAAGAAACAGTGACAGAGCTAGTCTTGAAATTCAGTAGGAGCGTATACATCACTTAGGAAAAAATGACAATTTTGTGCTTATAAAGGAGAAAATGCGAAACCTTGATTTATTTGTACGAAATTTAAAATTAAACCAAATAAGTACGATGGTATATTTCAAAATTGATCTAATATATATATATATATATATATATATATATATATATCAAAAAAAGAACATA